GGCCTGAGCTGCCCGGCCAGGAGGGAGGGCAGGGCCCGGCCGGGAGGGCAGCAGGGCGCCAGCGGCAGCTCGGCCAGGTAAATGTCTTTGGGAAATGTCCCGTCTTCCTCTGATCCCTGCTGAATGAGACCTTTTCATCAATTTTGTCAGTACCGTTTTGAATGCTCGCCTAGCCTTCTCCTGTGGCTGCATCTCCCCAGTTCTGTGTTGCCTGCAGTTCTAACAACTATCCTGCATGTCTATTTTCCCTAAAGTCATCAACAGGACTAAACTAGGGTGACATCTTTGGGTGCTCCAACCTCAAGTATTCACGTTCATAAAACTCTGCCATCACATAAGAGTTGTCAGGGCTGGGGTGTGTTAAAAGGAAAAAAGATTTATTTTAAGACACTTTTTGGGTGAATTAATGCTCAGAAAGAAGTAAAGTGAAAGGTAAATATGTACGTGATTATTAATTTTGAGACATATAAGTGATGAGTGTTTGACAGGTTTCTGTTTTGATTTGTTTCCATTGGTTTACATGACAAAATATTCATACTTTGCGTTTACTTTTTCAGTGGGATATTCTGCAGTTGCTCTTAATCATGTCATCGATTTTAAAGAGAAGAAACAGGTAATTCTTCATGGGGTTATTGTGTGTTTTCTCTGGTAAATCTACGTGCTTTATTACATGGTCCCAAATAGATTTATCTGCAGGCTGCACATCTAGATGCAAGTACAAATGTCAGCATTTGTGACAGAACTCAGGTTTTATAATTAAGTATAATTGCCCTGGAGTTAACCTGTAATATGATCTGTGTACTGTCACTAGGAAATAGTTCTGTTAGCATGGCAAATTTCTCTTTAGAATTGGAACACAGCTTTTGTTTGCATTGTAAATTTAACCTATGACATTTTGAATAACTTTGTTTTGTTTTCTTTTAAGGAAATTGTCAAGCCAGTATGTCCTTCAGAATTGTTTCCATCTTTGCCTATTGTACAAGTATGTCTGATTACATTCTATCTATGTGTTATTATTCTGACTTATGTTTTTTACCTTGCTTTATTTGTAAGTGTGATTTTGTGTATTACATGTTAATCAGAAAAGAGAAATTTGTCCATTGCTTGATTGTTAAAACTCCCAGCACTGGAAGAATTCTATTTGTTATTTTAGAAATTATTGAAGATACTGCTTCATGTGAATTTTGAATCTTCTTGTAGTCGAATAATTACCATATACTTCTTGAAATTTGAGTTTTGGCAATAACTTCCTGGTTTTGATGGAGCACGATTTTGGATATAATGAACCAAGTCTGTATTTCAAATTACTGCCATATGTTAATTCAGGAACTGCTTTTGCTTGCAGTTGTGTCCTGCCTGGGGAACCACAGCAGCATTAAAACAGCTTTTACTTGAAAGATTTTTCTTTTTTTTTTTTTTTTAATTTCTCCTTCCTACTGACCCTTCATGAAAAATAACACAATTAAGTTGTTCTTTGTAAAGGGCAGGTGTAATATCAAACAGATCAATAAAAAATAGGGAAGAATACTACAGACTTTAGAAAATTAGTATAGGCAAGAATATGAGCAAGGCACCTCTCTTTTTTTTTTTTTTTTTTTTTTTTTAATAGTAGACAGGGTGAAAGTCACCACAAATATTTGCTTTGGAGCTTTTGAAGTCTTTTGTATTATTTCTTTTTTTGTAGGGGACATCTAAAAGAATTAAAGTCTTAACCCGGCTAACGCTTGTTGTTTCTGATCCTTCCCACTGTAATCTCTTGGTAAGTATAGTTGTTTTATTAATTTCCCAATTTGTCTTTCCTTTTCTCAGTGAGTGAAATTTCAGAAATTGTATGGAAAGAACTTTGTGGATTTTATGGGGCATTCAGCAATGATTTCTTAAATCCCATCTTTAGCAAATAATGCCATCATGAAGAGACTTGCAAGAGTGGATATGGCTTCTGTTGATCATTTGTCAATATAGGAAACAGTTTTTTGGTTCTTTTCTTTGATTTCTGGACTTTTGTGTGTAAATTAGAAGGCCATGGGGAAGCCCTGTGTCTGTTTATGTTTTAGTGCTATGTGATTGAAGCAAAGGTGTAAGTTCCTTACTAGGTTGGTGGGACAAGCCTCAAAATGAGAATGAATGACTTCACGATATGGCTCACAGCAGAGGCCTACTATCCAACTGGAGTATTATTGTCTTTATTTTAGTACTTGAAAGGGAAAAAGGGATTTTGTTCTCATTATTACAGTCATAATCACTGTGTGTAGCTTTGGCATCTGCCAGAATTCAAGACAGTATCTATTTCCTCCTTTTGTAGAGATCAACATCTGCAAATATAAGGTTATATGACATCATAGCAGTGTTTCCGAAGACTGAGAAACTGTTCCATGTGAGTACAATCATCTGGTCAGTAATGCTTGTTCAGTAGTTTCTAGTGCTGTGGGCTAGTTTGAGTCCATGCTTTGTTTTGATTCTGTTTCCCATATTCTCCAGGCCTGCACGTCATGGGGCTAATTAAGCAGCGTAGGCTGCCTGGTCAGTTGACATACTGAGAAGGCTGGTAGGGATTGCAGGAGACTGCAAAGCCTTGACGTGACAGATTAAGACTGAAACATCTACCTGATTAATAGACTTGCATGCCTCTGCGCTGTGGTTTCCTTTGTGTGTTGTACTCTGAGTACTCCTCTCTGGTAAGGAGAGCAAGCATCCTTCTTTTTTTCTTATATATATATGCTATCAGCACATAGAAAACTTCTGTCTTGAACTTCGAGTGTCTTGGCTGCCCAAGCTGAGTGAGACGAACTTCATTTCTTCATGGCATGTTTGTTACTCTGCCTGCTGAGAAAACCATTGAGGCTGTACAGAAGTAGAGCAGCCTCAGGGAAAGTACTTGAAGGGCCACCTCTTTCTTTTGGCCTGTGGCAACAATGTAAAATCTCAGTTCTCAAGTGAGCTCAATCATTTTATCATTTGTTATAACAAGCACCTGAAACCACATGATTGACAGGGTCATGCTGTGTTGTTTTGTAGGAAAGGGCATCCTCCCATTTAAGGGTGGGTTGCTTTTTTGTGTTTTCGGCCATATTGCAGGTTCTGCTGCAGTTGGATGTCCAGCTGCTGCAGTGTTTACACTGGCATAAACAGTCCCTCATTTCTGCAGGTCCCTGTTAGCTCTGCTGGTGAAGCTGCTTGCTGAACTGCGTGGCAGTTTGGTTTGAGGAACATGCTTTTGGCTGAAGAGTAGTAACCAGAGTTTTTGCTGAGTTATTTTGCAGACAGATCCGCTTTCCTGCTCAGATTCAGCCATACGGATAGTTGTGCTGGCACAAAGAGGATGGCTGTGCTCTGGGCGGGCCAGTGCAGGTAGCAGCTGTTTAAACTGACACTGTTGTAGGTGATGGACAGTGTGCCAGGAAGGAAGCAGGATTGTTGATAAGATCATCTTCGTTGCTTCCACGCTGGCAGCACCTTGAGCTGGGGAGGGAACTCAAGCATGTTTTTTGCACACTGCATGGGGTCAAAGACTTCACCCTTACATGTTCACATTCAGGGCAGATGTGTACTTTTGTCCTTGTTCAAAGATTTTAGGTTTTCTAACTGTGGAGAGCTGTGTCAGTTTTGTAGAGGTACCAACAGGGAGTCTGGCCCAAATGATATTACATGTGGAGTTTCAGCATATACCTCTGGCTCCTGTGACTCATGGATCTTTCATTGTTAAGGATGAAGCCTTCTAGGGTGGGTCTTGCACCACAAATTAACTTATATTTTAAAATCGGCTGTTGGTAACTCAGTATTACCTCAAGAACATCATTTTTCTCACCAACATTTTGGCACTTGGATTATTCTCCATCGAACAGGTTTTTCCAGGGTTTTGTAAAAGAAATAAATGACCATTGGAGATGTACTCCAATTTTATCATGGCCCAAAACCCATCTGTGCCCTCATGTCACAAGCCAGGGAAGCTTTTCTGTGACTGTGTGGCAGTGATACATCCTGAAATATGTGCTCAAATTATCCAAATAATTTATATCCTCAGGGGTATGAGGAAGCTGTGTTAGCCAAGCTAATTGTAAAATGGGCTAAGTGTCCCAAGAGGATTGTTTTGGACTGCAACAGAAATGCCCATTCCATGCCTGCAATAAGGTCTGTGCCTGTTGCTTTTCAAAAATTCTGGCTTTTAAGACTTCTGACTGTTTTAATTATATTAGTTCTCCCTGCTGTATGTAAGCAATTAGCAGATTCCCAATATCTAAAAAAACTTGCTTATTGAGGTGTGAGGATGCAGTGAAAATCCAGACTTCAATGTTTATTCCCAAAATGTTTCCCAAAGCTTTCTTTGGACCATCTAAGCAGTGGGGAGCTTATTTCTGTACGGCTGGCTAGAGCATCCCAGCAGATGGGGCTCTTGCCCGTGGCGTGGCCGAGCTGCGCAACTGCTGGGGCTCCTCCTCTGCCTTCAGAGCCTTTCAGCAGGCAGGGTAACCTTAACTGTGTGTGGAGTGTTTGGAGTAATCTCCTCTTCAACTTCACATACAGTGCAGGAATTCCTCCTTAAGGGAAGGTATGCCTCTTAATTCTGTTTTTCCTCGGTGGTGTTTTCTGAAATATTCTTGTCACTGGAATCCTGTAGATATCCTGGCATTTGGGTTGCTCCCTTTCCCACTGTGCTTAATTTACAAAATGGAAGAGTTTTCCAGTGTTCTGGAGCTGCTTAGGAAGGCTTGTTTTCTCATCACCTAGGGCAACTTGCATGTTCCTGATGTGTATTCTTGCTTTCCTTCATTGTCACCTTTCTCTCTTCCTGAATTTCCTATGGCCTCACTGACATCCTTTTTAGGACATGATTCAGAGCTATTTGCTCTGTACATGTTCCCATCAATCACCTCTGTCTAGGTGGCAGTTTGTGCTCCACATAAGAAAAGGGTTAAAACTGGCTGTTGTAGGGCTAAACTTACACATGCAAGTCTGATTTGATGCAGTTGATTCCAGCTGTGTCCTGTCTGACGCAGCTGGTAAAGGTAGGGCATGAAGATAAAGGTTAGTCTGGATGGCCTGGTAGGGACATTTTAGCCTCAAAAACCTTGTGGTTTGCTGGATCTTTGAATCGCCTGCATGTATGCTGTGGGTCTCTTGTCTGGGAGGGAGGGCTATCAAGGGCTAAGAAACATTCCTAAAGTGGAACCTCTGCTCTCCACCCAAATTTCACATGAACAAACTGGTAGAAGACTAGTCTGCAAAGCAACAGCCTGCCCTGTGCTAGTGCAGAATGCGGCTATCCCACAGCCCAGCCCTGGGACTCCCCACAACCCCTGCGGCTTTCGTGCCAGTGCAGGGAGGGATGAATGGTTGGCGGCTGGCCCAGGTGTATTTGGAGCAGCTGCTGGCAGGTTTCTGAAATCAGAGAGTTCCTCTATGTGTAGAAATTTCCTTTCAACTTCTTCAGCCTGTTTTATCATCTTTGTTACAACGCTGCTTACAGACATTAATCAGGCCCTGTGTAATCATCTTTATGGAGTAGGTATAAATAGTTCCTACATGTTTTGTGTGCATGAGATTATATGTAAATCAAGGGCTCCCTTTTATGTGCACTTGATTTCCTCTGTATGTCGGCATGGCGATTTTCTGCCCTTTGCACGTTCTTTCTCTCTCTTAATACAGGCTGCAAATTGTGGTGTGAGATCAAAGCTAAGCTTTTAAACTATGACCTTCTGTGCCATCTTCAGCCTCTCCCAGAGACTTGGCATTGAGGAAGGTCTGCACATTCCCCACCCAGCCAGGAAAGTGAGGCCCTGTGGATCGGTCTGCAGTACTGGGCATAGGGCATCACTAGGCACTATCTAAAATTCTGCCTTTCTTTCAGTCTTTTCTCAATTGCTTCTGGTAAAGATAATTAATCCTGAAAACAAACAGTTGCTGCATTGGAATTAGAGTGTGATGGGGTAAGGAGCAGTTCCTGGGCTGTTCCCTTTGTAAACAGGGGTTGTCCTTCATTAGCTGTGAATTCTTTTGTTAAAAGCTAACATTGCTTCTTCGTGTCCTGTGTCAGATATAAACAAAGCAGTAAGTCTTGCCTTTGGGTTGGTTGTTACGCTGTTGGAAAAGTCGTACTGTGAGAGAAGGCTTGGGTTTTAAGCCTGAAATGCACAAGCCGTGCACCTGTAGCCCTGCTGTTTTATTGGCATACCTGCAAGGCATAGTACCTCTTCATTTTAAAACTGAATTCACCCTGGAGATACACTTGTTGTATTAAGAATTGAAGGAGAATATCAGAACACTTAAAGTTGGTCACGTTTTTTTGGCATAGCTAATAATTCATTCGTATGTTTTTTGCTCTAGATTGCTTGCACAACTCTAGATGTGGATCTGGTGTGCATAAATGTAACAGAAAAGCTGCCGTTCTACTTCCGAAGGCCCCCTGTGAATATGGTAAATTTACATCTAAATTGTTTTCTTGCTGTTAAATTCTGTATTTAATGTCAGTCTGAGTTGAATTCCCTACCGTTTCCCTCCCACCATTCCCATATAAGTGGTTCTTTTATTTTCCTGCATAATGTATAGTGTTGTTTCAGATGTCCTTCGAGGCCTCCACTGCAGCATTTAATACACAATGATGTATGTTCTTTTTCTCTTTCCTGTCCCCCACTTAAGAAGGCCGAAGTGGTGTTCCCAAGGCATGGAAGCAGAGCCTTAAGGCCACTACTATGCTAAGCAGTGAAATGTGGTGTGATTGCTGACTAAGCTGCTTCCCAAACCAGAAGTGGTGCAGCTGTGTCAGAGTAGATAAACAGCCCTGTGATTTAAAATACAGGAGAATGTGAATGACAGTGTTAATTTGGGAGAAGGATGTCGTACCAGTTATTGGAGGACAAGTGTATTGAATCCATGCTTGGACAAAGGAATGTCTTGGCAAATGAACCAAATGTGGAATTGCTAAATATCTGCTGTGGGCCACAAGAATCAGCATGGATCAAATATTTTGTTAATACAATTCTGCCTACTGTTGGTAGTTTGCCAGAAAGCTTAATCTGAACATGCTCTGAGGTGAACTAGTGTTTTTCCTCTAAGTATATGTCAAGGTTCATTCCACATCGGCATTCTTGGCTGATGTGGTCCTTAGTGCTTAAATATTTAAATTTGGAATTGGCTAGAAACCCTGCTTCCTCTTCTACAGAAAATTTGACCAGGCATAAAAATTAAAGATTAACTAGAATCAGTCCTGAAACAGAATGAAAGTAATGCTTTAGAATTTACTGTAGACTGGGAATTTCAACATTCCACTTGGAATAACAATTTTATATGAAATGTTGTTTGAAAGTACCCTAGCTGCCTAAAACTCCAGGAGCTGACCCAGGCAAGGGATGGGTGGGTCTGAGAGTCCTGTGTTTGGAGATATTTTCCCTAAAAGCTACTTGTCAGCTTCCACACTCACAGCTTTAAGGCAGTCTGTCTGTCAGACGGGTTTTGTGCATCCTGGGGCAGGCAGTTTTGGTTGTTATGCCAGACAGATTGGCAGGCAGCTGAAGTGGGGGGGATTGAAGTTAAAAATCTGCTTGACTGGAAATTGGTGTTTTGCCATCACCTGTTTTGGATTTGATAAATTCAGGCTTGTCATCTTGTCTGCAGATGTTGGACCAGTTGTGTGTAAAACATTAGATGTTTACCTAACTTCTGTTGTGCTTGCACGAAGAAGTCATGCATGGGTAGGAGCTGGATTAATTCCATCTGTATTCAGTTACTGGACTCTCTTACAGAACTAATATTGTAGCATTTTTAATAATATGAGCATAAAGCATAGAGTAACACTTCAGGTAAGTGTAGTATAGGCCATGGAGCAAAGAACTTCTAGCTTTGAATTGTATCTTTATCACTAACTCACTGTGTCCTATAGCAAGGACCTTTCTCTGCGCATTTATACAAACAAGAATACTAGGCTTTAGGTGAGGTACTTTGACAGGATTTTAAAGCAGCTGAAAATCTGATCAGTATTACTATTTGGAACTTCTGTGGCTTGGTGTTATTCAACATTGTCACAAATACCAGAGTGTGTGTCAGACAGGAGAAGGGACGTCATTGCTGCTTTTGTGTAAGGACAAATTCCTCATCTGCAAGATATGGGTACTATGGGTAGCGGTGGTCTTCCTCACAGCAGGCTGTGGGTTTAGAGGAGGAGGGTCTTCAGAATTTCAAGACTTGTTTCCAGCCAGCATTGGTTACCTGTCTTCTCAACTCTGTGATAGTGGAAATTCAAATACAATTAATAAGTGCCTGGTATTTCCTTGTTCATCAAACCTCATTTATCTGTTATCCCAAGATTCAAGTACACATACCTGGTGTACAGTGAAACCTTCCCCCTAGCCCCTTTCGTGCTATTCTATGCTCTTGCTGGAACAATTACTCTTTAATTTTTTTCATAAATAACACAGTTAAACTGAGAATAAGCTACCTCAGTAATAGACAGCAGTTGTTAGATTGTTGTGCTTCTCTCCTTTTGATTTTTGATCACTCTCTTTCATGTGAAGGCAATAGATCGAGGCATTTACTTTGAACTTCTTTACACGCCTGCCATCAAAGACTCCACAATGAGAAGATACACAATTTCAAATGCCATCAGCCTGATGCAGATCTGCAAAGGAAAGGTAAGCTCTCAAAGTGAAAGCAAGCTAATTAATTCAGTCCAAATTCTTCTGGATTTGTACAGACTGAGCCATTTTAAATGAGTTTGATGCTGGGAGTTTTGAAGCTGTGACTGAATCTTTGCCTTCTAATACAAGGACACAGTTATTCTAGCTCCAGATATTTCCAGCCATGCATCACTGCGGTGTTTCTTCTTAAGTTGTCAAGCTGTTAGATTTTTTTTTTCAGAACGACCTATCTCTTATTATGGTATGCAGTACCCAAAACAAAAGTGTGGGGGGAAAATAAAAGTGCAAGAGATCTAAGGTTTGCACTAGAACTGAAAACTGTGCATCTATTTAAAACCCCCATTTCATAGTTCTGATTGACCAAAAGTTCTTTTTTGGATAGTATACCTTGAATATGCGGGCTAGAAAATAACAAGAAAAAAGTAGAAATCTTGTTTTGTTAAACAGTTAGTAAACTCCCAGTGTACAAAACAGGCCCAGTGGCTAGCTGGCTATCAGCCAAGGCTTTGCTGCAGTCAGATCAACTGCATTCTTCCCTGCCACTGAAACCCAAGGATGAAGTAATGCCTGCAGCTGAGACGCCTGTAGTCCATTGCTTTCATACCTTACCTCCTCCCTGGCTACCAGGCTAAGCTGCCTGTCATGCTGGGTCCTCTCGGGCCATGTGTTTTTAAAAGGGAAGCATAACGTAATACATATCCAAGTTAAAAGAGGTTATAGTTCCCACCACCTCTGTTGGAAAACTGCCTTTGCACTGCACTTAGCCAGAACACAGAAGCCAAAATTGTAATTACCCTGCAGATCTAGTCTGAAGTCGGATATAGAACTTGCAAGGCCAATTAAAAACAGGTCTATTGTTACCTCAGTTATCCTCAGGCACGGCAGCCTATTTTATAGGAAAGCAGAGTGGGACAAACAGATTAATTCTCTTGGTAGTACAGAAGAAAGTGGGTATTTGCACAGCCTTTCCTGATGAACCCAGCTCTGGGAGTTAATTGCACAAAATACTGACTGGAGATGAGGTACATATACACGGAGCCCCTTTCCTTTGTGATTCCCTTTTGCCAGTGCTTCTCTTGCCTCTGTGCAGTTAAAGATGATCTTCTCATGCAGTTGTTGATTCAGAGAGCACCAGTTGAGTTGGCATCACAAACAGAGCAAGTGAGACGTTTGGACACTCAGTCTGTGCATGGTGCCATTTTTTTTTTTTTTTTTCTTCCCCTGCATCTCTCAATCTAGTGCATCGTGGTGACTGGAAGGTAAATCACCTGGAGCTGGGCATAACAAGTTGTTGTTAGGCACTGGGAGAGAACAGCTAGCTTGTCTTTATTTTTTGCCTCCAGACTCAGTACCTGGTGGGGCAGCAGAGATGGCAGTTTGTCTCCATCAGTTATGTAAAGGCCCTTCTGTAACATGGCTGGTCCATAGGCTGCTTGCACTGGCACCTGGCACACAGCTGTTGCCCTCTATAACCTAGAGTTGCTGAACTTGTAGTGGCTTTTGGCTCATTTTGTTCCTCCTCTGTTGTTGTAGGGCAGAGAAACTTTCAGAAATTTACTCATGTCCTCAGAGCTGGCACTGAGTGGAGTCCTTAAAACAGATTAAAATGTGCAGGGAATGAGGGAGGGACTCGCCTGCCTTGCCAGACGGAAGGTGTGCGTAGCCACAGTCCCTCACCTCCTGTGTTTTGGTAGCTGAATGTGGGTACCGTGCCTGGGGCAATGTACTGAACAGCTGCTGTCTCCTTTACCTGGGGAGATAATGTTTTGCCTTTTGAGTTCTTCCCTTTAGCGCTTCCCTTGCATTTGCCTTTGCCTGCCTCTCCTTCACTCACTAGCAATGCTTTTCTTGTCTGCTCTTGCCTCCTTCTCCTGTCTTACCCATCCCCTAACTGGAACCAGTTGCCTTTGAACCAGGTGGAGCGCACCTCCGATGCACAGCAGTGAACCACGATCCTGTGCCGGTTCAAGATGGCTCGCACAGCTGCTCTGGGAGTTTCTCAGAGCCTGGCAGACAGGCGTTGGTTGCTACAGCTCAGAGCAGGAGACTTGAATTTTCCCAGCAAACTCTTGCAGTCAGCACCACTGAAGCTCAAAAGCACCCTTGGGATCCATAGTGCAGTCATTTTAAAGGTGAACTACACAGAAAAAAATGTCCTAGGCTTCATCACGATGTGTGCTGTTAAGTCACTTTGATGTATATATTGCTTCTGCTTCTGGCTTTCTATATGCTAAGGCAGAGTTGTCTGTCCCATCCTTTCCTCCTCAGCACACAAGGAAACGTTGGACACAGTGTGAACATGCAGTCATTTCCATGCAAATAGCTCTCTTACGGTTGAATTCCAGCTGGGCACAGAGCATTTTCTCCCGGTGCCTGCCCTGCGCTTTGTGCTGGGGAGGTGGCAGGACAAGCAAAGCAGCGCGGGGAAGGGATCAAAAGCCCCACCTTGTAATGGAGGTGGTGTGATGTGTTGGTGGTACTGACGTCAATGAGGGAAAGTCTTTCGCTGCCTCAGTACAATTCTCATCTCCACCCACTCAAACAGGAATTCCCAAAGCCTTTTATTCAGTATAATAAAAGGTGCAAGGAATTTTTTTGCTGCTGCAAAGTTTCCACCTGTGCAAAACAGTGTCCCCCTGGGTGAGCATCCTCGGGGGTTTGACATCAGAAGAGCGCTGGCAGCTGAGCTGGGGTATCTGCCAGCCCCCACACAGTCACGTACCTGTTGTGTAGAAACCCTTTGGGAGAGAAGGGAGGAGGATATCTCTGCCTGGTGTTTTTCATGGGGGTGCCAGTGTTGAGGGAAGCGAGTGTGTGGTGTGAATTGGCAGCCACTGCCTAGCTGCAGATAGGTTGCCTCAACCAGTGTGAGTTTGATTAAGGCCAACGAATGCTGAGGTTAGGGTTGTGTTGTACTGCAACACAGAGAGTAGGCTGAAAATTTGAGAGCAACAAACTGTCTGAAGGCACTATCTGTAAGCTGCTTCTGGGAATCCTGGACTCCTAAGCTCGTTTCTGTTACAGCTCAGGCCAAGTTGTCATTTGTGTGGGGCCTCTTTCAGCTGGGGTAAATAAAGGGGGCACTTAACATAGTGTGTGCAACTTGGCATTTCTTCCTCACCCTTAAGGTCCCTTTAAAGTCCACTATGAGAGATAGAGGCTGGTAGATGCTTGCTTGATGCCATCGCTGACATTCATACTGCTTAGCCTAGCTCTCTGAAGGGTGTGGTGCTCATTCAACTCACATCTGTCTGAGAGAGGTTTGTAACTGCAGGGGAGGGCTTGTCCCTGTGCCCTTCTCTCGGTAGGGGACAGGGAGATAATCTGGGTTTATTTGTGTGCCCAAGCTAAGATCCACACTCTGCTAGAGTTCGCTTCATCTGAGGGCATCGGACACTCTGGTTAATTGGGCTCTGAGCCTGAACTTGGCTAATGCTCATAAAGTCTTTGCTGTTTGCTGATTTTTTGTTTGTTTGTTTGTTTCATTTCTTGATGCTGTCAAGACAGATGAACGTTTGTTCTCTTTTGTTTTCCAGAACATTGTTATATCTAGTGCAGCTGAAAGGGTAAGTCCCATATTTTTGCTGAAGTCAGAACAACTTGAGGACTTATCTGTGGCTGAAAATACAACTTTAATTATATAGTAAACATATTAAAATTGTAATTTTAAATATGATTACCACTTTATGAGGGTGTGTGTAGTGTCTTTTTTATTAATCAATCTGGTTTACCGAAGAGTTGTATTGTGAGATTTGGGGTTTTTTTTTTGGTTGATTGGGTGGAGGGTTATTTTTTGCTGCTCTAATATTTTCTGTGGCAGTTTTCTTCTAGATGAGGACTCTGTTTTCCAAAATACTTATTATTTGCTTGATTTCCTAGTGCGTCTTCAGTAGCTTGATATTACGTAGCATTTAATCTTGCCTTCCTGATAGCCCTGTCCTGCCTGCTCACGCTGTCAGGACTACGAGAGAGTACATTCACATATCAAACCTTCTCTGTTTTGTTTTAGCCTCTAGAACTACGAGGTCCTTACGATGTGGCTAATCTGTATCCTTTTTCCAAGTCAAAGACAGCAGTTACTATTAACATGTGAAACTTCAAAGTGGTTTTGAAATACTTCCATCCTTTATACTCCTTGAACTTTACACCCTGATGCTTGCTGGTGACCAGTTCGGTGAATCAAGGCTCTGAATGAGTGTATAAGGAGCAGCAGGTCTTGGTCATGGGATGGCACGAGCAATCACTTCAAATAGTAATCTTTCTGTTCCTCTGCAGTCACATTTTGTTATGATATGCACTGATACTGTGTGAGTGAAGTAGAGAAATTAATAAAAACTATAAAAATCTGTGGGCACTGTGAACCAAACCAGAAATCATTGCTTATGATCTCCAAGGTGCCACATCTTTGATAGAAGAAGCTATAAAATCATATTTATATTAAGAAAGAAAAAGTTCCTATCTGAATCCTGGTTACATCTGTTTAGAATTTTCCAGTCCTTAGTTACCTATGTGCTGTTAAATAAGTGGTTGTGTTCTAGAAACCAAGGAGAGTGTCTTTTCTCCCCTTCTTTTAGGAGTTCGGATGTATTTTCACTATTCCCTCCTCCCCACCCCACAAGCACATATCTGGACCGTACCTCAAATGGGAGGAGTGTGCTCTGAGTCGTGAGAACCGTGTGGGAGGGTGTGCGGCCTGGATTTTATGCACAACATTTCCTTCCCTTTTAAAAAGAGCAGTCAAGCTCAACCCAAATTAACATACCTAATGTGGTGTCATCCCTCTTCAAGGTGGGAACTTTTCAGCATGATGCTTTTGTATCAGACATTGCTCTTTCCCCAAAACCGAATTTTTCAGTGAGGTCATTCTTTTTAAATTGATTATGCATATAAAAATGTTCCTGTGTTGACAGACTTTTATTTTCAAAAGTACAGCTTCTTGTCTGGAAAAAAGCAACATTGCCAGGAGCTTTCCAGGAGGGCTGCTGGGGAACTGCAGCCAGGAGAATTGTGTGCCTCAGTTCCCTGCCTCTGGGTAACCTTATGCAAAATGTCACTTTGAGTTACAGCGTTGCTAATTCCCAGTTATTTGTAGAGTAAGCAAACCTATCATGCAGACAGACTTCCCTGTTCTGTGTGTTCCTTTCTGTGCGTTTGGATCCTGAACAAAGGTGGCAGAGGTTTGCTGTTTGGCCTGTCAGAAAGCGAAGCCAAGGCAGCTGTGTCTACCAACTGCAGAGCCACCATCCTTCATGGAGGTGAGTGAAAAGCACGTGCAAACTCATCTAAGTAACACTTGTGTATGTTAAACTAAGTTCATGTTAATGCATATTTTCCAAAAGGTCCAGAACCTTACAGAATATGTCAACTTGGGGTTTTAGCTCCCTTGTCCAGTGCGTGAAGAGGAGCTTGTGTGGCAAGGGTCTTTTTATTTTCCCTTGTTGCCATGTTAGCAAATCAGTGGCTGAATTGATAGTGCTGTCTGTACTGGAGTTCCTGCTTAACCACATTAAGGAGTCATAAACTGTTTAGTCAAAACACAGATCTGCCTGCTGTTCTTCGTCGTGAAACTATCCTAGTTTCAGAAAGGGTTGAATGCTGATCTCTGTGACACCAGCAGGAACTCTGTCAGTGACTTCAAGAAAACTGGGATGCATGTGTTTTTGTGTTTCCCCTCTTGCAGCTTGAGTGCAGAAGCAACCTCTGTCATGTCCCTTTCTGATGCTTCATTATGTGGCCTATGCCTGACTCACTCTTCAGTGCAGACCATTTCAAGCTTGATGCAAAATCAAATACCCTGAGTGCTTGCTGCTTAGAAAAAGATGTTTCATGTAGTGTATGATGGCTTGAAATGTTTTGCTGAAAAAAAACTTGCTTCCTTATGCTCTCAGCAGAGGCAGCTCACAGTAGCTCTCTTCTACTTGACCAACTTTAATATTAAGAAAGTGGAGATTTAGCTTGTGGCCCACTGCACTGGAAATCCAGTTGTTTTGTGCTCTGGTGTCAGTGCAGCAAAGAAATGCCGCAGATTGTGGTCCATCAATTGATTTAGACACTTGCTTTCTACTGTAGCACCCATTTCTCCATCTCTACCCTACCTTTCACATGCTTGTTTATTGATTCTTAGTGTTTCTGTATTTTTGCTGTTTATTCTGTTGGGAGTTCAGTTTTGTGACTGGGTAGTCACACTGAGCTCTTGATTTCTGCCTCTGTCAAGGGTTTCTGGGTAGGTATGATTTCTGGTCACCTTCCCAACAGCTTGAGTTGCTCTAAGTTTCAAACGCACAGTAGGCTTTGGTTCGCATCTCTTGCTTCAGTAGAGGTGGGGATTGAATCTCCTATAATTCACATCAGGTAGCTTTAATCTCTTGGAGACGGCATTTCTGTGAATAGGGTTCTCCTCCAGCCTGCTACTTATCTACATGAGGACTGTGGTGGAAGAATTTTTGTCAAGTTTATGTGGAATTTCTCAAGACCATCATCTATCTTATGTGTAAATAGCAGATGTCATTTCCCAGTCGCCTAAAGAATACCAGCCCAGAGTAAGTTGATATATTTTGGCAAGGTTCTTGCAGAGCCTCTTTGCTAACAAGAGTATTTGTAGGCAATCTCTCCTACCTCAGATTTTAGAGAAGCTTCCCACCAGTAGTTCTAGAATTGGATTGGGCTCACTGGGTTGTGTGGCAAACATATGAGGAGTTTGATAACATCACACAGTAGTATTTTATGGTAATGCTGGGGGTTCTGTAAATAAAATATTCTTGAATACCATCAAGCCATTTACTTGGTATGTACAGGGGAGCCTCTGCCAATATAGCTCTGCCAGCATAGTCTGTTTAAAAATCCTGGGGTATGTGAATGTTATATTATTTATTTTTTTTTTAATAACAGTATGTTTTGCTCAGTAATGCAGAAATGCTTTTGGCAATGCTTTAAGAATGTGTCCTTCTGTGACTATTGAACTGACTAAGCCTTGTTTTCCTATGGCTTTATGTGTCTGCAGCCCCTTCACCCCTGCAGCTACACCCACCGTCTGATTTCTTTGGTTCCCTCACTCCATAAGGCAGCATATCGCCAGCTCCTGCCCATGCAGGTTGTGTGCTGACTGGCTAGCTGTTAGACACGGTCAGCTGTGCTTTGGGGCATGGACGAATGGAATGCTCGTTTGGGCAATAAGTATGCATTGAATGCATTATTGTCACTTTATTTGAGGTACTGCATCTTCTGCTTCTATGTTCCAGAAACTCGGAAGAGTGCCTGTGGGGTAGTGTACACGGTGAAGAAGCCTCGCAAGGTTGAGGAGGAAGAAACAACACTGCCAGCTTGCAAAAAAGCTAAGACTCAAGCTTGAGGACTGAAGCAACTGTCAACAGGAGCCTCCATCCCATCTTTACTCACTGCTGAGTCTTTCCCCACCCACAATCCAGCTCAGTTCCTCCCTTACTCCTTTATTTAGCCTGGAGAGGAATTATTCTTCCGGTGCTCAAGTGGGGAAAGCTGTGGGAACGTGTCTGCTGAACGGCAGTTCACTATGTATGAAAAGTCATGCTGGGCTTCTGGCCAAGGTCAGGAGACTGTCTCTCTCTCCACCCTGTCTTAGGTCTTCTGGAGTTAGTGCAAACTCAACACAATGTTTCTAACATAGGAAATTTTCAGTTGTACAAGTGCATTCTTTTTTTAATAAAAATGTGCCTGAGAATGCAAAGTCTAGTGCTTATGGTTTCTCAAGTTATAAACGTATCTCTGTACAAACCCCCTATAACTGCAGTGGCTGGTGAAGAGTAATGATGCTGTAAAAGAAAAAAAATATTCTGGTTCTGCTTTGTGACCAGCAGCCATAAAGAAGATCCCAGCATCTGTCACTTGCTAGGAGATAACTTGGATGTGTGTATCAGTGGGACTGGCTGACCTCACCTACAAGAAACACATCACGAAGGCCATCCCTGTCCTGCAGCTCGTAAAACCAAACGATAACATGAGGTGGTTACCGCAGATGGGAAGGAAGAGCCCAAGGTTACAGTGAATGTGTGCTCAGCGTGGTGTGTGGCAGTCGCAGCGTAACAGCTGTCTCACCTTGGCCTGAGCAGTCTCCACCTCACGTCGTTTTTACTGCATCATTTCCTTCTTTATGTCCCGGTCTGTCAGCGTTGCCTATGCGAGTGTTCGTTTCGCTGCCTCTTGCCTTTCCGTTTTCCTTCCTGTTAATGCATCAGTAAACCTAATCTGGCTGCCAAAAAAACAATCATAACAGATTTATAATCAGAGCATTTTCAGAACTCTTCCAAATGTTGACTGTTTTGATTAAACCAATATAAAAATTATGTAAGCTACTGTACTCACGATAACTTTTGAGCTAGCTTTATTGTGAATGTTCCGGTTCTCTATTTGCATCTCACAAGAAGTTCGGAAGTGGAAGTTATAGCACCTAAAATGTTGCAGAAATCTTGTGGTGGGCCATCTCTGAGGTCTTGGTAACTGGACTGAGCAGAACAGCTGAAGTTCTCAGTAGACTAGGAGTTCTGTGTAATGTTGGTGTAAGTTACAAAAGCTTCTGCTTCATTCAACAAATAGTTAAATAATTAACCTTTATGTTATTATTTTACTTGTGGACTTTGTGATTTCAGTCTGGTTTATTATAGGCATTTGGATGTAATATATATACACACATTAGGTTATCATGTATGGACTTGCCACCAAAATGATGTTCTAACCAGGGAAGCAGCAGAAATGTGTTTGCCTGGTACAGTTTTGTGAATGACATGCTAACTTGCCTTGGCCAGAGAGGAACTTACCTTGAGCGTGAGAGAAGCTGTTTGGTAACTAGCATGTCATAAGAGGCTTTTGAATGCTAGATATCCTTCTTGCTACTTGTTTGACTTGATTTTAAAAAATTAAGTAGATACATTGCTTCAGGAACTGATTGAAAAATCTATTCTCCCCCAGTTTCCTGAAGCGTGTTGTTCTGGCCACTGGTGCCTGAACAATTGAACTGCTGTCGGTTAGGACACTAAACAAACTGAGTTAGCCAGCACTGATGTCATTTCTGTTTTCTGCAAGGCATGCTCCCAGTGTCCGGGTAATTTTGCAGGAACATGTAGTGAAGTAGTGGCTTGCAGAGAAGGGCAGTGAGAGGTGTGCCATAATTTTTACAGAGAAGAGGGTGTTCACAAATAAAGCTTGTGGCTGGCAAGGTGACATTCACATTTATGGTGTTTGTGTGAGAAAAGTCTCATCTGCCTGAAGCTGTTGGCCTCAGTCTTGGAGAGCTGGCTGCAGACAGAGTAGGTATTTCTTCTGCTTGCCTCTCTGTGGGGTTTCTGTAAATTCACTGTCTCCAGAACTGGCAGTCCAGTAACAGCTATTCATCGCTGCCCACTCCTGACCCCACCTCAGTGCCCAGGACGTTGCTTTGGCCAGGCCGTGAAGCCTGCTGGCTGGAAGCCAACTGACACAGGTTGGCGAAGGTGTGTGGGAGCCTGTGCTGTATTTCGCCAGGAGGCCATGCTGTGGGGCGTTAGGATTTTAACAGCGCAGTGTGTAACGGCCCAGTGAAATCGGACATACACGGCCCTGGCTGGTGGCACTGTTACTGTTCTGCTACTGCTAAAGCAAAGAGAGAGGTGCCTGCCTTTCCTAGCGGGATGCGGCATCTCCCTCGGCTTGGGTAACTGCAGCTGTCTCGTACATACAGCAAGTACTGACTTGCTGAGGAACCGAGATTTTTAAATCAAGCTTAGTAATAAAACTGTAAATTTCTTTCACTAGTTACTCAAGTACTGTCCCTGCTTTTGTATAGGAGTTTCCATTTAAAAAATAAGAGGTGGCATTTGTCTAACAGTGTTGGGGAGGTTGCTCAAGGGCTGGTTGCTCTAGGAAAGTGAGACTTTTTTTGAGAGAGAGATTTTAAGAATTTTACAAAGGCCAAGATGTGAACTTTCTTTACAGAGAGTCAGAATTACCCTCTGTATGCTCACCACTTCATAATCCACTCCAGTAAATAAAAATAACCACTCTGTTTATTTAATCCAAAATTAGATCAGTACAAAATGTACAGAAAAAGCAGTACAAATTTACAAATATACATAATCTGGTTTTGCATTCTTCAGTCATCAGACTTCATAGTAGTCTATCTTAAAAAAATTCACATTCCTCGTGCAGTCTCCTCTCACCTTCACAACATTGCATGTGAATCCCTCAGTCCAAACGGTTACGTGAGGGTCGGAGCTCTGTCGCTGAGCTCTTCATCAACCACCATTGCCAAACCCTGCGTAAACCACATTACTCAACTGCTTCTTTTAATCCACTTGGCACCGCGGTACACCTTCTTCCGCTGCTCTTCCACGTACAACCACTCATCTAAGACATTGTTTTAATAGGGAGCGTTTGGCAGGGACAAGGCGACAGTTGCAAGCATGCGCTCTTTAGGTCTATTGGAAAGCTTGAGGGAAGTTGCTAATGGAGTTGGAAATACTGCCTTCTAAGACAAAAGGACTTATGTTACTGGCAAAGATTGCATTAGGATGTAAAGCTCTACTTTAAAAAAAGCTACAATAATATTGAGAATAATTAAAAATTAAGTTTTTAAATAAATAAATAAATAATAGTAATAAATAAAGCCGTTTTAGAACCAGTGGAATTTTAACACTCAATCTGTCTTTTAAAGTAATTTCTTTACCTTTTTTTTTTTTTTTTTGTGCAATTTTCAGTGAAGGTACCTCAAATAATCATAGAATCATAGAATGGTTTGGGTTGGAAGGGACCTTAAAGACCATCTAGTTCCAACCCCCCTGCCATGGGCAGGTACACCTTGCACTAGACCAGGTTGCTCAAAGCCTCATCCAGCCTGGCCTTGAAGACATAATCCAGTACCATAAATATTTTCAGTAAAAATACTATGTTCAGGGTTATTTTCCTCCAGGTTCATGTGAAGCATTGAAAAGCAGCAGAAAGAGAGCGGTCTGGTTTCTCCCTTCAGAACTTCCCTAGTTGGACGCTCTTATAGGAATTGTCTTTCAGGCTGTTGAATATCTCTTTGGTGCCGTTCTGCCACTGAAGAACAAGATCCATAGGGGTTTTCCCTTGCTAGTTAAAAAAGCAGAGGAAGCAAGATTTAATTTCAGCCAGTGGATACTGAGTCCTTCATTCTTCCCTAAATATTTATACAGTGCATCTGCCTCATGTGAGAGCCTCCTGCATGCACTGGGTCAGAGGTACTTCATCTGCCTGAGATCGGAGTCCTTTTGCTCTACAGATCTAGTCCCAGTCAGACTCCTGATGAAATTTCCCTGTGTTTCAGTGGGTCTAAGCCATATTAGCAAATACCATGCAGGTGTTTCTTCTGATCTAGTTTAAACTGATTAGAAATACATTTAGATGAAACCTCAATAAGTTGCTCCTCTATTTAATTGAGAATTCAGATAAGAGTTTGTACTGGTTTAATTAGGTTATGAATCACATCTAAATTAAACAGGAGCAACTTTTGTGTGCCGACAGAGCCTGAGAGAGCAGATCTCTGGCCTCTGGGGCTGTCTCTTTCGTTGTTTCCATACCCTGATAGGAAATAATGCCAGGAGTGGTCCTGCTAAAGGGGGTGTGGGCAGAGAGTAGGGAGACTGCAAAGGTAGCAGTGACTGGTTCCTTCCTTACCCCCTTAAGGTCTGATTGATTGCCAGTCAAAAACGTTGACTGTCATTGGTTAAAACCACTGTCCATTCACTGCTGCTCGATTCTGGGGAAAGGGGGCTGTGCTGTATTTTAACAAGTGGTCACAGATCTGGCAAGGCACCTTCTGCTGCTGTGGTGGCTATGAACAAAAAGTCAGGTGTGGGGCTTCTTAAATGGAAGCTTTGCTGAGCCACAGGGATTTGTTGCCCGACAGACAGGTTAACAGCCAGTCATCCAGCACTCGGGCTTGCCATCAGCTCTTGGGCTTAACAGAAAAGAGGTTTCTCCAACAAAGTAAGATCTTCTTTGCTGTCTCCATCATCATTGAAGCCCAGGAATTGTGCAGAGAGCAAATATTTAGATATTTTCAATATATGATATGGGTAATTAAAACAAATCACAGAAAGTTGTGATGTTCTGATGAGTTCTGGTTTTAGAAGACATACAGGTTTTTACTCTTCTCCCTGACCTTCCCCCAAGTTATACTTTCCCTGTGTCAGCTCTGCTTTAATTAACTCTGAAGTGATCTAATTAAGTCTGTTCACAACAGTCTCTCCTGGTCTTGAAACCTGCAGAACTGCTCTGAATGGAAGCTTACTCTAAAGCATTCTGAATTACTGCATTTTTTGCTATTACTTACACAGTTCTTTATAGTTAGGTCTGCTCCATACAGAATCAGAAGCCTGATCATTTT